TTAGTTTCATCCGTCCACAGCAGCTTATTCCAGAATGAAGCTGGTTTGTCCAAATGTGCTTTAGCGTCTCTGTTTGTGCTGTGGGCGGAGCAAAGGCTTCTGCATCACTCTCACATACAGCATCTCCCTGTGTAAAGTAAAGTGCGCCGAATGGTTGAACGCTGCACAGCGACTCCATCTGCTGCAACATGATGTTGCAGGTCTTTGGTGCTGGTCTGTGGGTCGATTCTGTTCTCACCGTCGCTTCGGTCTCTCTGAGATGTTTCTCGGTCTGACACTTCCAGCCTTAACTTGAACTGAGCCTGTGGTCTTTGATTGTCTCAGTATGTTCCTAACTGTGGAGACAGACGGCTGAAATCTCTGAGACAACTTTCTGTGTCCTTGCCACCATGATGCTGAACAATCTTTGTCTTCAGGTCATCTGAGAGTTGTTCTGAGACCCCGTGTTGCTTCTCTTCAGAGGAAATTAAAAGAGGAGGGAAACTTACAATTGACCCCCTTAAATACTCTTTCTCATTATTGTTTTCACCTGTGTGTGTAGGTCAGGGGTCACTGAGCTTACCGAGACAATAATCAGTCCTAAAGGTTTGGAATCAATAAAATGACAACAGATTTATGCACCTGCCTGATTTTGTTTAAACAATTACTGCACAATTTCTGTGAATCCAGTAAACTTCGCTTCACTTCTCAAATATCACTGTGTGTGTGTGTGTGTGTCTATGATATATTTAACTGACAATTTGTATTGTAACAACGATTTATACAGGAAAATAATGACTATGAACAAGGCTGCCCAAACTTTTGCATCCCTGTATCTGATATAAAGCACCGTGAGGTGACTGTTCTTGTGATTTGATGCTTTATAAGTAAAACTGAATCGAACACGTTCAGAGCACCTGATTGTTTTTGTTTAGCACTTCTAACCTCTCGTCAGGGTTTTGCTTCCTCCATTAAAAAGAATTCGCTTCCATACTGGCTTCATTATTCAATCCATCTTTTAATCTGTGTGCATGTGAGTCGTGTTTATTCTCATTTAAATGATCTGTATATGAGTATGTGGGGGTCTTTGTTTTAATTCAGGTTTGTAATGTAGCACCGAATCATAAGAACAGTCAGCTAAAGGTGCTTTACATCGTGAAGGACGACGGTAATTAGAGAAACCCTCACTTTGGTGACCGTGGGAAAGAGAAACTCCCGCTGTACGTGGAGCAGTCGGCTCAAACAGACGCAGCAGATCAAGGTGAATAAAACGTTGTTCATCCACAGCTGTTGTATTTTGCACAGGCTCTGGTCGGGCAGCTAAGCTGACTGATACACACTTCCTGTTTTGAGCACTGTCAGCTCCATCCAGGAACTCTCATGTGCTGATGACAGTGATGTCACTGGCGGTCAGTGACTCTGGGCTGTGCTCACTGACCCAGCCGTGACCCGACAGCGGCGCCGACCTTTCAGAACGCGCTGACCTACATTCACGTAATGCCAACAGAGCTGATGGTGATGAGCAGGGATTAAACCCTCAGCTGCTCCTTGGGCACCGCTCCAGGTTTTAGTCCTACAGACAGCACAGACAGGAGGGAGGCGCCGTCTGTTAGAGCCCACATCGCCCTGAAAGGTCACCACCGACCGTTGTGTCACCTCGCCAAAGTGCCAAACACTGAATTTAATGAGACGGAGATGAGCAGAAAGGTGAAGCTCAGCTCGAGTGTAGTGTGTTTGCAGTGACGTCAGGTAAACTCGCTCTACCTGATGAGCCGAACCGACACCCAGTGCATTTAACGGCGATGTCGGTGATGTCATCGATTCTGGTTTAAGACAGTCGGACTTCTGTGGAAACATCATCAGACACGAGGTCGATGTCCCAGTGGGGGCAGCTGACATCAAGCCACGTTCGGGTTGTTCAGATCTTTTTGCTTTTTGGTGTTGAACCATTTTTTCGTCTTTCTGTAGGCGGCTGGTGGCACGTGGTCCTCAACCTGGACACGACAATCGCCGTCACTCAGAACTTTGCCAGCTCAGTCAACTTCCCCATCGTGTGGCACAAAACGGTTCGAGGACGTCCCAAACTCTCCAGGAAGTGGTACCGGTAAGGACGGG